AGAATTTTCTGAGTTCGAGGGGTAGGTTATGAAAAGGGAAGGTGTTAGCATCCTTTTCATATGTAGTTATCTACGGGCTCTTAATCGCTAGCTCACTTTATTTTGAAATGCTTTGTGTGTATGTGATTTGAAAATATTTTGAAAATGTCAATTGTAAGGCGGACTTTGTAATGATTCTTGTATAAGTTAAGAATGCATACAAAATGTTTGTTTTTTTTATATAAATATTTCAGAAGAAGTGTTTTGTGAAAAAGATGTTTTTTTAGCAAGCGATTACGAGCTATATACCTACTCAAAAGTCTTTCGTGTTAATTTCCTCCTCCTTGATAGTGCTATCATACCATTAGTTAGTAGGAATCCCTATCGTTGGATGTGAAAGGATAGACGCGGATCATCGTATAGTCATAAAGGTAACTTATAGGGGCGCTTTAGCAATTTATAGCAAGGGACAAAGATTGTTTACTGAAGGTAGCATCGCGAGGGTCATCGAGGGACTACGATCTTTTTAACCGAGGGTCTTTGCCAAAGCGTCCCCACGTTCGAGGGACATGACTACTTTTATTCGAAGGCAACAAGTGGGATTAACCTAGAGGTGTGTGTGTGAATAATGATTCAATTCAATTATTTTATCTTGATTAGGATTATCTAACGGTTGATTTTAGATCTTGCCATGCATGCCTAATTACTATACAATAATAAGGAAAGCGGTAAATTGCAGAAAGTAAAGGTGCGAAAAGTAAATTTAAGCTATTACAAGACTTCGGGAGTGGGGTACAAAACCACAAAATTGGGGGGGGGGGGGGGGGGGGGGGAACAGTAAACCCTAATTAAAACTATTACAATCCATTATCATTACATAAATTGGGAAAATAATGCGGAAATAATAAGATTCGCGAAGATCGTACAATAAAGAAAAACGGGAAAGGAAATTACTTGATGATTTTTTAATAGAAAAAGATTTGATGTTTAATTTATAAAAAAAATAAAGTGGTGATAAAATAATTAAAACCTAATTATTTCTAATTTCTCTTTTTTAGGAAAACAAGTTAATTATATAAAAAAACTTAATTTCTAATTATTTTTAATATAAATTAATTAACAAAAAAACCTAAGTCTAATTATTATTATTTTTTAAAAATAAAATTAATTTGTTGTATTTTAATTAAATGAAATAAAAAAAAGTAAAAAAAAAGTATAAAGAGTAAAAGAAAAAGATTGGGCCTGAAAGAAGTAAATTTGGGGGTGCTGAAAACAGAAACGTTGGGCCCAAAACATGTAAGCCCAATACGCCTGCCTGAGATCCAGTGTGTTGCTACAAGTAGGTTCACCGTGGGCACGCAAGCTCTAACATGTTGATCTGGATCTCTTGGAGATCCAAGGGTGATGACAAGGGGAATGCACAACATACGCGTGAGGATGACTTCAATGGATCTGTAAACAAGAAAATATGTGAAAATAAAATACCAGGGGCAGGGATCGAACCCGTGCCCTGGTGTACTAAGGTCTTTGTCACGCTCGCTTCTATCGTTGGGGCATCTATAAACCCGTTCATATAAATCAAACAATAAACATAAATATAGAACATGATCATATTGACCGAAGAGACGCCAGAGCCCTAGCTCTGGTCGTCTTCTCCAGCGACTCTCTTTTATTCAATCTACAAAATAAGCAAGGTTAGTAATCAAAAACATACTACCCCCCTAAATCGAGGGTTGTGAATCCAGTGGCAATGTTATTTTGATCTAAAAAATCCCTGGTTTGGTCGCTATAATGCAAATGGTACATATCGGAGAAAACATGTTTCAGTGTGCATATGACCATTACGATGGTCCAAACCTGTTCAAATGTAACTCAGAAGCACGTTAGTAATACCAATATGACTTAAAATGATGCAAAATTTAGGATATGAAATTTACAAAATTATGGAATCAGATATGCATGGTATGGAGTTTTCATGCGTTTTGGACCCTAAAAATCATTCCAACCTTACTCTGCAGGGTTGTTAGAAGTGAATGGAATGGATATCTTGTAGTGAAAGGGTTTGAAACAAGGATTTCAAGACCTAGGGTTCTTGAAAAAAAGTTTTCTATTTTTTGACAATATTGAGAGGCAAGGATTTCATGTGTAAAAGGTTTTTCTTCTTGATGTCTGAATTGATATGGATATATAGAGAAAATTAGGGCGAAAATATGATGGGCTTGGACTCTTGTAATAAGATATGATTTTATCTTATTTATTTTATATTATCAATGAATAAATAAAAAATAATAAAAATAATAAAAATAAAACAAGGCCAAGGGATGTAAGAACAAAATTTGAGGTGTATGAAGAGTATAATACACGTTTGGACTCTTAGACCATGGCCTAATAGTCCAAATGTCAAGCTTGTTCAATTTAACTTCATGCATTTGCCCAAAACTTCCTAACTTGTAATAGTCATAACTCACTCAATTTTTATCTTTTGAAGGTGATCTTGGACGTTTTGTAAAAATCAAGATGTACTTTACAACCTCTACGTTGATCATTTTTGCTTTTGAAGACTTTATCTTGATGCAAGTTGCCTTGACAAAAAGTATCTTTTTGTTGACTTTTGAAATAACCTGTAATATATTGGCTTATATCTCTCAAATGATGAATTTTCTGGACTTGAGCTTAGAGAGACAAAGTTGTAGAGAATTTAACTTCCTTCAAAATGGGCTTTGGTTGGAGAAAAGTTGATGAAGCATGTGAAAGTTATGCCCAGTCAAAGTTTAGTTGACTTCTCCTAAGGAAACCCTAATTTTGCAACTTTTAGCTTTGGATAATTTGAGGACATTTCTTGAGGAATCATGATCAACCCTTGATCAAATGATGGATATGACTTCAAAATATTGATGTTGACCAAAAATCTTAAAGTTTGACTATATGTTGACCATAATTGACTTTTTACCCAACATAGTTGATTTTCAGTCATCTGAGTCATTGAATGAGCAAACTTATAATGCAAGGCTTGAAACTTGGCATGAGCATTCTTGGAGACCTATGGAGAACCATCAAAACCACTTGAGACCTTGAGAACCCAATCTTCCTTGTGAAACATAAAACCCTAATTATGGACCCATTGCTTAGGAGGAGAATTTGTCTGATCAATTCTTGAGCAACCTTGAGCATTTAAGAACCTTTTGAGAATGTCTTAAAGAAAAATGGGAGGGAAAATTTTGGGGTACAACAAAGACAGATGAAGTCGAGCAGATACAAATAAATTCGAGCGAGAGCGAAGATATTAAGAAGCTAAAAGACGGGCGAAAAGTATGTATGTAACTCCCCCCCTCTTTTTATAGACTGGACTCACCAGCGCATGAGAGAGCACGCGCCTAGGGAATCCTAAAAGGCACCATCATCACACCATAATCCCTAGGCTAGCCATTATCACACCTCCCTGATATCATGTGACTCGATACAAGTGTGGCACGCAATCTCCCCAAACTCAACCAATCGTTCCTCTCCCTGCAAAACAAACACTAGGCAATTTTCAGACTCCTCGTACGAAATTGCCCCTTAAGACATGACAACTCTTCGAAACCGCTCAATTATTCCTCTCCCCGCGAGACGAACACGACGAGCATCACTCAGACTCCTTGTATAAAATCGACCAAGAAGTACCCCCATTTTCGTGGGCTGATTCTAAGTCATCACTCCTGTAACTAGGAGCAACGACTTGGGGGGCTCCTATTCTGGACTAGCCCAATGACTAGAATTGACCCAACCCACTTCCATGTTTGGCACGACATAACAACAGTGGCCTAACACTCTGGTCGACCACACCCTTGAGCACACGACCAGCTATGCCCGACACGCACGCTTGACTCAGTCAACACGTGTCTCCCGTCAGCCCCACTCGAGTCGGACAGACACCCAGGAAACGACCAAAATGACCATCTGTCCGTAATCTACCTTCTCAAAACAAATGGCTACTTACGAGCATACATGCCCGTTTTGACCAAGTCCTTACAGTTACCTATTTTTCCGAACTCGCATATCTAGGCTAAAAAATAGGAACCAATGACTATGCACCGAGGGAACATTATATAAATCCTCACAAATGTGAGAGCCCGATATTCACAATCTCACACCTTAAACCCTCATATTCTGCTTATATCTCTTGCCTCCCACACTTACTTGACCGTCAGAGTGCTTTAAAGGTACACCACCCTCCACCTTTTTATCGATTTTTCCAGCCCGTCAAAGATCATCCTCCAGCTAACTTGCAGGTTCTGATCAACCGGTAAGATCAATGACTATTTAATTATTTTATTTATGTTTTCTACTAATATATACATTTTCGACGGGTCGAAATTACTTAATTTGTATATATGTTATATTCATTTTTTAACCATCACTATACTAATTATATTTATTACTTATAACGATTTTTTGTAAACCGTACGAACGACGGGTAGATGACTATTTAATTATTTTATTTATTTTTCTATTAAAATATATTTTTTTGATGGATCAAGACTTTTTAATTTTTGTATATATTTATATACATTTTTTTAAACTATAATTATATAATATTTATTTAATATCTATATCGACTTTGCAAGATTCGTACGAACGCACCAGTCATTTCTTAGTCTACTACATTTTTAATCAAATTACACTTATTTTTAAAATGAAACTTGAAACAACTACAAGTGAAATTAAACTTGCCATTGTTTTTATGCTAAAAAAAAATCTTGCCATTGTTTTTCCTGAAATAACCCAAACCAAAACAAAAAAACAAAAAAGACATTGATACAACATCGAGGTCAAAAGCGTACTCTTATTGAACAAGAAAGGTCAGTTTAGTAAACCTGAGAGACGAGGGTTTAACAAGGTTTAACAAATCTACACACCTATTTCTCCCTCGCTTTCGTTTCCACTACAATCAATGGTGGTTATCTTCACCCTCAAAACCCATTCCATTCTCTAATCATCTCACAACACTTCAATTTCAATTCTCCTCATCCCCAAATCCAATGTTGAAGCTCATTTCATCCTCCCGCATCCACCGCCTAAACCCCGCCGCAGTACCGGTGCTCCGTCCCGCAGCAGACTCCGCATCGCCGTTGCTTAGAGTGCTGAGCCCCCTCAGCGGATTGAGCCGGAACCACCGTTATTTCGGAGGTCGGCTTTTTTTCTGTTCGGATTCCGGCGACGGAGTCGATCATGTGGTTGATGCCGAAGTTAAAGCGGCGGAGGATACTCCGTCGAAGGCCTCTGCTATTGTCTCCACGTACCCTAGACCTGAAGATTACCTAACTGTTGGTTTCAGATTTTACTAATTTTCTTTTTAATTTTAGCTGCTGAAATGTTTTAACTACTTTTAGATGATTCAGAAGTTGGATTCTTTTTCACTTTTCCTTTGGATCAGGTTTTGGCATTACCATTGCAGCACAGACCCCTTTTCCCTGGATTTTACATGCCAATCTTTGTTAAGGTACGGTGAGTTGCCAACAATGATTATTTAAGTCTCTGTCTTTGCTCATTACGCGCTTCTGGCTTAACCATATGGTATTTGGTTAATTGTGACATGGAATTTGAATGCATGCTCGTGTTTTACTATGCGTCCAGGACCCCAAAGTGTTGGCAGCTTTACAGGAGAGTCGAGAACGACAAGCTCCTTATGCTGGTGCTTTCCTCCTTAAAGATGAGCCAGACACTGATCCCAATGTGGTATCTAGCTCTGACACAGAAAAGAATGTATATGACATAAAAGGAAAAGATTTGTTTAACCGTCTTCATGAAGTTGGGACTCTTGCCCAAGTATGTTATTTTATATGTAGCTTAATAGTTGCTTTATTAACTTAAACAAATTACTTGTTTAGATTTGATAACTGCCTAACTTTTGTAAAAAATCATGTTTTGAATTCCAGATTTCAAGTATCCAGGGTGATCAGGTGATCTTGATTGGTCATAGACGTCTACGCATAACAGAGATGGTTGGTATTGAACATGCTAATTAAGAAAAAATGGTGTTTGATAATATTTTGGTGCCATTCACTCCATATTTGTGCCTGAGTTTTGTTCACAGGGATTCTGATTTCTGATAATCATTTGTCTACAGCTGAAGTATTCTGATGGTTGTTTAAAACTGTTTTTTTGTAGGTTAGTGAGGACCCGCTTACTGTAAAAGTTGATCATCTCAAGGCAAGCCTTTGTTGATTGCTTCCTCATTTTGTATTTTCGTTGAAATGGAATTTTTTATTGGACAATCATCTTTTATCTTTTATTAACTTTTACTTAGTGCTGCAGGATAAATCTTATAACAAAGAGGATGAGATCATAAAGGCTACATCTTTTGAGGTCATATCGACACTTAGGGACGTTCTTAAAACAAGCTCTCTTTGGAGAGATCATGTTCAGACTTACTCTAAGGTTTATACTTTAGATCCTTCTGTGCTTGTGTTTATCGAAACATGGGAATGGGGAGGGGATTGGAGTAGTCCTTTGATTATGTGCTAGGTCTGTTTGCATTGCTTTGTTAGAACTTTTGGAAGTTGCAACAACACCTTTAGTTTGTAGTTTGTGAATTTTAAACTACTTGATTATTATTATTATTTTTCTTTTTGGTATTGCGACAAAGTACAAACTCTTGAATAGTTGGCTCCATATTGCTTCTTCCATGCAAACACCCCCAATGTTACTACTCCTTAGGTTAAACTATTCTACTCTATTGTCACACACCTTGTTCAAATATAGAATATAGTTGATGTCAAATCTATGTGATAACTTTACCTAAGCATGAACGAATCAGTAATAAGTGCCTTTTCACGTACTTTTTTTTTTTTTACTTCGAAACAAACAAACGGGAGTAATTAATGTGGTGGTTGTTATATGTTTTGATAATGGGTTAGTCGTTACTTTTAGCATTTTAATATTTTGACTTTGTCTCTCCGTTAATTGTGCAGCATATAGGTGATTTTACTTATGCAAGGTTAGCAGATTTTGGAGCGGCAATATCTGGGGCAAACAAATTGCAATGCCAGCAAGTGCTTGAAGAGCTAGATGTGAGTAAATTTGGAGTTGACACCTAAGAAACATACACTTTGTGGAATTTTCTTAATTCAGTTTTACTATCACAATAACATAAAAATTTGAACAGTGGAACATTGAGTTTTTAACATTTGGAGGTGCTTTTGTTGTTTTGTTGAACAGGTGTATAAACGATTGAAACTTACACTCGAGTTGGTAAAGAAAGAAATGGAAATCAGTAAGATTCAGGTAATAACATATTTGGATTTCTTGTGTGTTGTACTTAATTTTTCATCATTTATATATTGAATTTTTTGTTGATTATTTCAGGAATCAATTGCAAAAGCAATTGAAGAAAAAATAAGCGGTGAGCAGCGCCGCTATTTGTTAAATGAGCAGCTTAAGGCCATAAAAAAGGTATAAAACCTCCATGATTTGGTTTGTTAGTGTACCTCAAATCCTAGGCAAACCTGTTTTTTTTATTTTTTATTTTTTTTTATCAATGAAATTCTACAATTCAGAAAGTTGATCTATTGCATCTATTACACATGTATTGTACAATCCTTTATGTTAGCTTGCACATAATATACTGTTTGAATTTTTTCTTTCTATACGTGGGTAAAGCTTATAAGCTTCGACAAGCTTTTGGCTTTAACTAGTTAGCTAAGCTGTGCTTTATGCACGCCATTGCTTTGCAGAACCCCTAATTCTATCTGTAGAACCCAAACTCATAATTTACTATTCACAGCTACAGTAGGCTTTATAACTTATCCCGTGGTTTATAAAGTTTTGGTGCGATCTAGGCCTTTGATCTTTCTGGTGGCTGATGGGTCTTAATGCATAAAATAGTGGTAAAAAAAATATAACAGTGTAATATGAGTAATGAAACTGCAATTGTATCGCTATGAGATCCACAATTACAGGAAGATAGTAATAGAGAAATAGGAAAATAACAAACTGGTAATAGCTACTCAATTTCCAAGCACTCAGTGCTCCCAAATCACCAAGAGGTGACCCCACCAAATCCTATCTGAATTCCTTCCTGATTATTCCCTTCCAGCTATAGTTATATATAGTCACTCTCATGCACTTCATGCGTTCCTCATGCATTCACAACCACGTCACCATCTTTCTTTCCTTTTGTCTTCTTCCTAGTGTAAACTCTCCACACCCTTGGCCTAGGCCCCACTTCACTAATCACATTTCTATCAACTCCCACCTCCTTAGACAACGCCTTGTCTTCAAGGCAAAATTCAAGAAACTGGCCACGCAAAAATTCATTATCCTCCCATGTTACATCCTCTAAAGCTTTGTTTTTCCATTGTATCAAGGTTTGCTGAACCTCATTACCCCCTGCACTATGACTCTTGAACCCAACACCTTTGAAATTCTGGTACAGCAGACTCATATGTCATACAAGGATGTCGAGACATCTGATCTGACATAAACACACAGGCAAAACAGTACTGAAAAGATAAAGAACACACCAGAATTGTTTACCCAGTTCAGTGTACAACAACACCTACTCTGGGGGGCTACAAAGCCAGGAATGAAGTCCACTATCAGCAGTATCAATTTGCAGACCCTACAGCCAACACTCCCGTTGACGATCTACACACTTAATCACTACCCAATGACCCTTCTACCTAGGTCCTCCCTAGATATGGAATATCTCCATTCCACTTCCAATCATCGCAATGATGTCTAGCAGTCAACACCTCAGTCACTGCATCAAGGGTCCTTCACCAAAATTCTGATCACACAAATGGACAGTTTGGAAGACACACTTCCATGTCAACTTAGCTAAGTCTCCAAGCCAAACTCTACTGTTTGTTAGCTCTGCTCCTAACTAAAAACACATCCTGGAGTTGCTTCAAAGTTTCCTCCAAGAACAATACACCTCTTCCCTACAGGCTTTGAGGTGAACTTGGTAACCTTCCCACAATCCGGGGGGTTTACTTTGACAAACCCTAGACTTCTACATCTTGAGCCGTGTCTTTTCTAAGTTACAAACCTTCTATTTATAACCTGTTTCCCAACTGGTTTTGGACCTTCAATCACAACAAATCAGCTGTAACAAACTGCAAAAACTTCTGCCCCAAGAAAGGTCTTCAATCTTTACTTTCCTAAATAATCTCCTTATTTAGAAAGTCTTCATTCTCCTTGATTTCTGGACCTTTAAATATGCGCCACATAGGATGCATAATATTCTCCTGAGTATTCTGCTTATGTTAAGAACAGATTGAATCTCATTAATCCAGCTCAGCAGGCGCGATGTCAAGACATCTTCTTTGACATGTTGTTCCAGTTGTTGAAAAAGTTCAACACAACATGTTCTGACATTGTAATGGGACTTCTTGTTGTACGTGTTCTTCTTAGCAAGTTTATACGTCCTATTCTACATTACATTATTGCTGCTATTATTTGTTTTACAAAAATTAAGCCAATCCTAAAACAAGAGAACTAACAATCTCCCCCTTTGGCAAATTTTGGCTAAAACAAATAATCAAAAAACACAATTTGCAGCAATTCAGAAGTTGCTGCACACAACAATAGATCTTCAGTTGAAAATGATGTCTCAACATCTTGTTAGACATCTTCTTTGCAGCACTCTGAAGAACTCAATTGCATCAGCACCAACGAACATCAGTTTCAGGATAAAAAGAAGGAAAGTCCTGAAGTTTGGTTGATGCACACGAGAAAGAAGATAGCAGAGGACAACTTGTACTCCCCCTCAATGCAGGAACATCTTCTAAACATAGAAGACCAATGGTGGAATAAGGAAACTCTCAATAACTCCTTAAGACCAAATCAACCACCGCCCTTGATAACTCAGAACACAGGTCACAACTGTGTTCATAACTCAGATCACAGGTCACAAACATATGTCACAGAAATAATAACTACTTGACATCTGTGAACATTAATAATAACCACTTGTGGAAGCAGCAACAACATCTGAATAATAACCACTTGTGGAAGCAACAACATCTGAGTTGAGCTAATTCACCTTTCTCCCCCTTTATAGTCAAAACTTGGCAAAGGAGACCTTCATAATACCAGACCCAAGCACAACTTACCCAAACTCGAATAAAAGCCATAAGAATTATGGACTCAAGGAGCTCATGGGGTTGCTTCCCCTATGGCTTCAAGCACCGAAAGTCGGTTCTGCTCAAGTTGCTGATTTCACCTACTTCAGGTCTGTAATAGAAGCCCTTCAGTATGCTACTGTAACAAGACCTGAGATATCTTTTGCAGTCAATAAAGTTTGTCAGTTTCTTTCAAATCCTCTTGAGGACCACTGGAAAGCTGTTAAGAGAATTCTCAGATACCTCCAAGGGACAGTTTCTCATGGTATACTTCTCTCACCTGCTAACCTCACTCTTCGTCTCACTGTCACAGGCCTTTGTGATGCAGACTGGGCCTCAGATCTCGACGATAGAAGGTCCACTTCTGGAGCCTGCATCTTCCTTGGTCCTAATCTTGTTACTTGGTGGGCAAAGAAGCAGACACTTGTTGCCAGATCAAGTGCTGAGGCAGAATACAGAAGTTTGACCTTAGCTATAGCAGAGATTCTCTGGCTCCAATCTCTCTTGCAGGAACTACACATCAACCATCAGACTCCCAAGATACTGTGTGACAATTTAAGTGCAGTGTGTCTAGCTCACAACCCTGTTCTGCACTCAAGGACCACACGCACATGGAACTTGACATTTTCTTTGTCAGGGAGAAAGTGATTAGCAAGAACCTGATTGTTTTCCACATTCCTGCAGTAGATCGGTGGGCTGATGTGTTAACCAAGCCACTGTCCACTAATAGATTCTTGTTTCTTAAAACCAAACTTAGAGTTGTTGACAAGCTCAAACTTGATTAACCACCCTAAGTTTGAGAGGGGAGTATTAGAGATATAAGGGTAATCTTGTAATAGACTAGCAAAAGGGAATTAGACTAGTGTCTAATTTCATTTCTATCCCTTATCCTTTCTATATAAAAGGATCTGTTATAACTGATTCAGTTGAGAAATAACAAATTCTGTTTTGCAATCTCTCTCTCTCTTCTTTGATCTCTAACATGTATAAGTATAATATGCTTTGCTGAGTGCTCTACTATATAAGTTGGTCTTTGATTAATTTTCTTGTAATTCGAGTTTTATTCAATTTGCAGGAATTGGGACTGGAGACTGACGACAAGACAGCTCTTACCAGTTGGTTTTGATTTTTTTCTTCATTTGTTTATAACAAGATGATGGATTTCTTTTATAACTTGTTTCCTGCAAAAGATTAGTGTGTATGCATGTAGGCAGGGTGATTGAAATCTTTTTTGCTGCCACACTACTAACAATTTTCACCTAACTGTTTTTTATTTTCTTCCTTTTCTCTTCTGTGTTTCTCTACAAGCATCTTTTAAAATTTATGTTATACCGTGAGTATAGGAGTGCTCTTTATACTGTACTTCTTTCTGTGTTTTAGATAATGCTTCTTGTACTTTTTTTTGTGTTTTAGTTAATCACTTTTCTAGAGTATACTTTCCAAAGAAATTTGTTTCTGTGATAATACTAATTTTAATTTATAATTCAGGTAAATTCAGGGAAAGGATTGAACCTAAACGAGAAAAATGCCCACCTCATGTCTTACAAGTTATAGATGAAGAACTCACAAAGCTACAACTGTTGGAGGCTAGTTCTAGTGAATTCAGTGTTACTCGCAACTACTTGGACTGGTTGACTGCACTGCCTTGGGGTGAATACAGGTTTGTATAAATGGAAATTCATTCTTATTACTATTGCTAGATTAATTTAAATTTATTTAAGATTTAAGTGTATGCCTCATGTAGAAGACAGCCCCCTAGGCCCTTAGCATTCATGTGATGGGACAGATGTATTTCATAGTTTGCATTTAGGAAAGCTTGCTGAACATGGTTTTTTAGCCTTTTAGGAAGGTCCTTAAAAGCTGACAGCTAAAATGCACGAGCATAATCTTTATAGGCTCTTAGATGCACCAAGTTTGCATTTCGTAAGTTACTGCATTGAAATTCACGAGTCTGAATCTGTTAATTTCCCTATCCAGTGATGAGAACTTTGATGTTACTGGTGCACAAAAGATTCTTGATGAAGACCATTATGGATTAACTGATGTGAAGGAAAGAATATTGGAATTCATCGCTGTTGGGAAATTAAGAGGGACTTCACAAGGTAAATATAATCATTTATGTAAAGTATCCCAAAGATTTACCTGGGTGTTTAGTTTGTGACGAGTACTATGTTAAACGTTGTTCTGTGTTTTAATGTCTAGCAAATACTATATTCCTACGATTTCTTGAAATAGGATAGTTCCTTTGATTAAGTAGTATTAAATCACAAGGTAAATATAATCATTTATGTAAAGTATCCCAAAGATTTACCTGGGTGTTAAGTTTGTGACGAGTACTATGTTAAATGCTGATCTGTGTTTTAATTTCTAGCAAATACTATATTCCTACGGTTTCTTGAAATAGGATAGTTCCTTTGATTAAGTAGAGTATTAAATCACCATATATCTTGATGCCCAATTTTTCTCTATTTATAAACATTTTATGGAAAAACAAGCCTGCTCTGGAGTGCGTGCTTTTAGTTGTTTTAACTGGTATAAATTTAATGTTAGATTTGAAATAACAATTTAAAATATAATGCGAATGCTTGACTTTGTTAGGCTTTGAAATGTGATGCATATTCTTTTGTCCAAAATTCAATCACTAGACACTCAATTTTATGTGTCTTACACTGATTCTAACTCAAAATGCTATAAGATATTGGCCTCCGTTAAGTCGATTCATTTACTTAAACTTCAAGCCTTTGGTGCTTGCCTATGGTCTTCGCCAAATGTCTGACATGGTTCCTGATCTTTCTTATATGCAGGAAAAATTATCTGTCTCTCTGGTCCACCAGGAGTAGGAAAAACAAGTATTGGCCGTTCAATTGCCCGTGCCTTGAACCGTAAGTTCTTCCGATTCTCTGTTGGAGGATTGGCTGATGTGGCTGAAATCAAGGTAAATAAAATCAGTGTCCTTCTCTAGGTCGAACTGATACCAGTTATATAATAATGTGTGGCGGTGTTTTGTATCATTAATGTTGAATTTTACAGGGGCATCGTCGAACATATATAGGTGCTATGCCAGGAAAGATGGTACAATGCCTTAAGAATGTGGGAACAGCCAACCCTCTTGTTTTGATTGATGAGATTGACAAAGTAAGATGTCATTAGACAGTTCAATTTATTTGTGGCTGAGTAATTTTGTTTTCTGATTTCCCTTTTGTATATATGCTCTCTTGGTTCTAATGGATATAATGCATGGATTTTAGTTTTATTAATTTTTTTACGATTCCCTATCTTAAATATTCTATTAAAAGTGCAATTAGTATTTTTGACACTGTTTTATTCAATTGGTAGTTGGGCAGAGGACATGCTGGTGATCCAGCAAGTGCTTTGCTAGAGCTCCTGGATCCTGAGCAGAATGCTAATTTTCTGGACCACTATCTTGATGTTCCCATTGATCTATCAAAGGTAAGTATTTATAATCTGGGAAGTTATGTAAGAGTCAGCATTTGTGCATGTTTTATTTGTTACATGTTTGTTGCTGATCTAAAAGGATTTATTTTATCGTTCTATAGCTATAGTTTGAATGAATAGTTTTTATTGAGTACCTTGAAGTCAAAGTTGTCACATTGACTTTTTTACCGCGGTACTAATGCCCTGGAATCACACTGCAGGTTCTTTTTGTTTGCACTGCAAATGTAGTGGAGATGATACCAAATCCCCTATTGGATAGGATGGAGGTTGTTGCTATTGCTGGGTATATTACTGACGAGAAAATGCACATTGCAAGAGATTATCTGGAGAAAACTACACGTGAAGCATGTGGAATAAAGCCTGAACAAGTAATAAACTTTTTCACCCATTTACAGGATTCCTTTTCCTGCAATGAATGACCAGCATAATGATGCCAACTTTTATTTCCTTATTTGTTTTAATTGGTTGAAAAGGTAGTTGACTACAAAAATTAATTTGCTTCAGGTGGAGGTGACTGATGCTGCTCTTCTTGCTCTAATAGAAAATTACTGCCGAGAAGCAGGAGTCAGAAACCTTCAAAAGCATATAGAGAAAATTTACCGGAAGGTATAGTTTTTTTTGCCATTACTTTCAGTTTTTAGTTACTGACACAGTGAAATATGTTATTATGTTGTGCGTGGTTGAATACAGCCATTCTGGATATATGGGTTTCAAATTTATTGACTGCAGTTTGTTCATCACTTTATCTATCTGAATTTAAATTTAGTAAATGCATCCGGTGCCCTGAAATTTTCTGTTTGGCATGACAGATAGCACTACAACTTGTGAGGCAAGGGGAAACCATTGATGCTACTCTTGAAACGGGTCCAAATACCACTCCAAAAGAGAACCCCGTGTTAATAGAGAGTAGCGATTCTGAACATACGGATGAAGACTCTAAAGACGTTGATGAGTTGCAAACAAATCCACCGGCAGATGAATCTACAGATATTGAGGTAGTATAACAGTATGAAAGCACATACTGATTCTCTCTCTTCTAAAACAGTTTTTTTTTTTTTTTTTTTTTTTTAAAATTTTAATTTGGTTCATTGAGCAAGAAAACAAAAACCTACTAATGCGAATCACTAATGGGATGCTGAGAACTTACAAGTCTTTTTCCTTAATATATACATACTTCAACGGTATGCTAGTGCCATATAGTTACATCTTTTTGGGGTTTTACCAGCTTTTCTGTGACTAGTACAAATGGCACATCTGTTTTAAACTGGCAAAATTTTATGAGGTTTTCTGTTTGAAGAGAAGACTTCAATCTACAATCTGAAATCTTTTCCGTGGTTCAGTAACCACTACACATACTGTTTTTTCTGTGAAACCTTAGACTTTTATATGGTCCATCACTACTGACTCACAAATTTGATATTTATGGATCTTAATTTTGGCAGGTTGCAAAAGAAAGAGAGGAAGATAAGACAATTGAAAGGGTTTTGGTTGATAAATCGAATTTAGATAATTATGTTGGCAAGCCTGTCTTCCATGCAGAGCGCATCTATGATCAGACACCTACTGGGGTTGTTATGGGTCTTGCCTGGACTGCAATGGGTGGTTCCACTCTGTATATAGAGACTACATTTGTTGAGGAAGGGGATGGAAAAGGAGCACTACATGTCACTGGTCAATTGGGAGATGTGATGAAAGAAAGTGCTCAAATAGCTCACACAGTTGCCAGAGCTATACTACTGGAGAAAGAACCAGAAAACCCTTTCTTTGCGAATTCAAAGTTACACCTCCATGTTCCTGCAGGGGCTACACCAAAGGATGGACCAAGTGCTGGTTGCACAATGACCACTTCTCTGCTGTCCCTTGCCTTGAAGAAGCCTGTGAAGAAGGATCTAGCAATGACTGGGGAAGTGACACTTACAGGGAAGATTCTTCCCATTGGCGGGGTATGTTGAGAAAATTGAAATATTTTTGTTCAAAATTTTTGGATATAGAAATTTTGCATCTAAAGCTGTTTCTTTTTAAAGTTATTTCTTTTAGCACAAAAGGTGCATTTTATATATGAGTTGACTACTGCTTTCAGTATCTACTCACCAACAAATAATATTTAGAATATATGAAAAATTTCAAGTCCAACCAACTGACTATTTATCTGTAGCAAGTATTTTTCGCCAGGACTTTTTGCAAATTTTGTGTCTGAAACTGTCTTTTGATGCTATGAAATTTGCAGGTTAAGGAGAAAACTATTGCTGCAAGAAGGAGTGCTGTTAAGACTATAATATTTCCTTCTGCAAACAGGAGAGATTTTGATGAGCTAGCACCTAATGTAAAAGAAGGTCTTGATGTGCATTTTGTTGATGACTACTTGCAGATCTTTGATCTGGCTTTTGGTGATGAGAAATCTACGAATACAGAGAACTAAATCACCAATGTCCTGTAGGATCTTGAGATGAAACCCGATTCTTTATTGAGCTGGGAACCGGCCTTAGTTTTCTACTATATTGATTTATTAATGCTGATGAATTTTGGAGTTTTTACTCATCTGTTCCCTTGTGTTCAGGGCGAAGTATACTTTTCTGTTTTCAGTCTCATGCATCCCAATTGTAATAACATGTATATTCATCTTCATTAAAATTTAAATTTGATCAAACACCAGTTGTTTATTTAATGTTTTTGCGAAGGTTGGGAATGATCATACTCATAATATTTGCAATAATACAAAATTATTTTCCGCATTGGAATGGTACTTGCTTCTTTGTTTGTCTTTTATTTTTATTTTAGGTCAATTAATGACTACCCTTTCATCATCATATATAATTTTGTTATGTTCAACTATGGTAGCATTCTATTGCATAGCCTAGATGTAGTAAGTAAGGTGTAGAGAAAGTAAAAGTAGATACTAGAGAAGAGGGATTAAAATTAAAAAGAAAACAAAAGTTAGATGTGTAGCAAAAGAAAAGAGATACAGAAGATACAAAGGAAACAAAAACAAGAAAAGAGAGGAAAAAGACACAAGTTTCCTGATAATTTCGTCGGGTATTGCTCATTACTAATTCTCTCAAATTCTATGGAAATCCGATATTATCTTTTCACACTGTCCGAAGATTGAGGTTGAAATTTGAACGCACCACAATTCAAACAATCTCTTTATCAGAAATTTGAACCAACCATAATTTAAACAATCTCTTCATCAAAACACATCCAATATATGAACATACCCTTTGGCAATTAAATTCTGGACTTACACTTTAGAATTCAAACATTCACAAATTTCTGCATAACCTTGTGTTAAACCCTTACACTTATGATCATAACGTAATTCATTAAAGTCTTTTAAAAATTTTCTTGCATTCTTATTTAATATTTCTGCTTTCAAACACAATTCTAATGTATTTCGACATCAAAAAGAGCAAAATCGTCAGGAATTTTAGATATTATACATGTTTATCATTGATGATCATTGAAATAATCTATTTTTTTTCTTTTGTACCATGAACACAATTCGAAAATTGTAATTCAGATCCTTGAAGTATTGGTCCGAAGACTGAATTTCATATTCTTTGAATGTTGATTGAAAATTGTTTTATTTTTTTATTGATTGTAAGTATGGTGCACCGTGATTCTGTATCAAAGGAAAGTGATTTGACATCTCCAACAAGGTGTTGTACACGTTGATGTTAGAGAGGAATTTATTAAAAAATTTAAGTTTACTTTACGTGAACATATGTTTCAACGAGTCCATACAAAAGCTGTCAAATTAGATTTCGACATTCCTACATAAAAGTCAAATTCTGGTATGTTCATAACATAAACACAATTTTGAGTTTAATTTCCTAATTTAAATCATGCGAGTATTTTCTTGCACAATTAAAATACTTTAATAGTCATTTAATTATTATATGCTAAATAAACATTCAATTTTAATATTACATTTGTAGGTAATGTTTATGTGAACTTTAAGACATTCCAATTTAGTTTATTAAATTTAAAATGTCTAGTAATTTTAGTTGAGTTGGTTGAAACAGTAAGTTACAAAAGCAACATCTATTGTGTAAATTTGATTAAATGATAATCACAAAGATATAGTGTGTAATTATTCATACGAACTATTATAATCTGTTAAAAGGAAGACAACGTTTGACCGAGTAATTGTATATTTGAGATGATAAATATATAGTAATTATTAAGTTTATTCATGTGACTGATGATTGGTGTCAAAGACATCCACTATCTGACAGAATTTATTCATAATATTTCATCATTGCGTGAGAGTACCACTTACAATTAATTCTTGTAATCAAAGATTGAGAATTAATTGTGTTTTTTGACATCTTGTCCAAATTTTATTTAATTTGCATAAAAAGAACAATATATATGTCTATATGGTTATTAGATATTCCTACTAATTTTGTTGTATGTTTTGTTGTTTTTTTTAATGGATCCAGTTGCCGTTTGGGGTGACAAAACGGACCGCCGGTCCCGTTCCATTCCACCCCGTCAAAAAAAGAGTGGGTGTGAAAATAGGCATAAAAATATAGCTTGCCCCACTAAGATCGTGGGTTGACGGGTGGCGAACTTGCCCGCCTACTTATTTATTTATTTATTTATTTATTTTTTAATAGATTAATAATTTTTTTTTATTTTTATATTTCAATTAGATTTTTCACTTATTTTTTAGAACAATTTTTTATAAAATATATTTTAAACAAATTTTACTTAAAAAATATTGCATATATTGACAAATAAATGTATAAAATAAAACCATCAAGAATAAAAATGACTAGAATTAACTAAAAAGGGACAGGCTTAAGGTGAGACAAGCTGAACGAATAAGCGCGACAAACTTTGGCGAGTGGCAGATTTTGGCGGGCGGCGGTTTTTGGTGGGCGGCGGGTCCAAAATCTCAACTCAACCCGCTATTTTTTTTGGCGGGTGGACGGGCCAGTCCGGCGGGCCATGGTCCATTGTTCCACCCCTAGTTGTCGTTGCTACCACTCTATATTTTGCTGCTTAAGTTAACTTTATCCAAGTACTGAGTATGATGAACTTTAAGTCCTAAAAAAATATGTGGGTATCATTCTTGGATGTATGAACTTAGACTTATCCCTGAAGGAAGAGCGTCTCACTACCAATGTTGAGAATCCAAATGAAACTAATATAATAAATTAAGAACGATCTAACCATATGTGTCTTATGATGATCAAAAGATCTATACCTGGAATGATTAGAGATTCTATTATTGAGAGTAAAAGTGCCAAAAGGTTCTTCGAAACCATGGAACAATTCTTTACTAAAAGTGATAAGGATGAGACAAGTAGTACCTTATCCAAAATCATTTCAATGAGTTATAATGGTAAATGGAACATTAGAGAGTACAACATGGAGATATCTAATCTCGCATCGAAACTCAAGGCACTCAAGTTAGAACTTCTTGAGGATTTGATTGTGCACTTGATTTTGATCTCTCCCTCTCTCTCTACACACTTTGGAAAATTCAAAGCGAGCTACAATACTTAGGAGAATAAATGGTCTCTCAATGAGCTTATATCTTAATGTGTGTAGGAGAAAGAGAAGGTAAAAAGATAGAAGAATAAAAGTGCTCACTTGGCTACTAGATCTCAAAATAAAAGGAAGAAGTTTGCAGGAAATTGTTCTCAAAATAAGATGGAAAAGGAACAACCGAAGGAGTCCACTTGCTTCTTTTGCAAGAAAGTTGGACACATGAAGAAGTAATGTTCACAGTACACCATATGACATGAAAAAAGATAATTTTCTCACTTTTGTTTATTCTGAAATTAATTTAATTTTTGTACTTAAGGATACTTGGTGGGTAGATTCTAGTGCTCTCACATTAGTATGTCCATGCAAGATTCTCTATGAAGTCGTACGCCAATTTACACTGAAAGATTCATCTATATGGATGATGATAATAAGGTTGTAGTAGAAGGTATATGGAATTTTAGATTATTAGTAAAGACTGATTCTCATTTGGATTTGATTGAGACTTTAAAATCTTCATTTAATTTATCAAGGGCAAGCAAACAATCAAAAGAAATTTCCATGTCGAAAGAGCTAATGATGTCTTAGAACTAATTCATATTGATATATGTGGTATTTTCCCTACAGGTTCTTGGAATGGACAATGGTATTTTATTAAGTTCATAGATAATTACCGAGGTATGACTACCTATACTTGATTCATGAGAAATTTCAATCTTTGAACATGTTCAAGTCATTCAAAGCTGAGGTCAAACTTTAACTTGGAAAGAAAATAAAGGCTCTCAAGTCTGATCATGGTGGTGAATACCATGGTCTGTATGATGGATAAGGGGAACAAAGTCTAGGGCCTTTTGCGCTTTTCCTTGATGAATGTGGAATTATTCTGTAATACATAATAATGCTCAGCATGAATGGAGTTGCAGAACAACGAAACTGAACTCTTAAGGATATGGTAAGGAGTATGATTACTCATTATTCTCTTCCAAAGTCATTTGGGGGAGAGGCACTAAGACAACCGTTTATATACTTAATAGAGTATCTAGTAAAATAATAGCTAAAATCCCTTATGAGATATGGACAAGGAAAAATCCCAACATTACGTACCTGCACATTTGGGAATGTTCAGTTGAAGTGAGACGTTATAGGCCCCATGAAGGTAAGTTGGACACAAAGACAATTAGCTGTTATTTTATTAGATATACCAAACACTCTTACAAGTACATGTTTAATAATCCCTTCACTAGAACAACTTTTGAAATGGGAAATGCTACATTCCTCGAGGATGTAGAGTTTGGAGGGAAAGGAAGCATAAAAAGAATTGTACTTCATGAAGAAATTATTTCTCCCAATGATCAAATCTTTGTGCCTATCTTTGTTTTAGAAACAAACCCTAAAATAAAAAATAATGTTATTTCTAGTATCCTTCAAGAATAAGATGATAATGAGTTTATTTCTTAAACATCACCTATAGTTCAAACTCAACAACCTTAAGTGGTTCCATTAAGAAAATCCACTAGAGAGAAGAAAAGTTAAATATAAGATGATTATTTTGTATTTATTTAGGAACATAAGGATAACATAGGTTTGACTGAGGAAGATCCTATCAACGTTAGTCTATGAGGATTCTAAACTCTCTTAAGTGGGTTGATTCCATGAAGGATGAGATGAAGTCGATGCCTGACAATGGTGTTTGGGATCTTGTCAAATTACCTGAAGGAAAGAAAATCATTGATTGTAAATGAATATTTAAAACCAAAAGGTATTTAAAGGGATGCATTTAGAGATATAAATCCCATCTTGTCGCTAAAGGATTTACTCAAAAGGAAGGCACTGGTTATAAATAGACTTTCTTTCTAATTTCTTTGAGAGACTCTCTTAGGGTCATGATAGAATTAATAGTTCGTTTTGATTTAGATTTGCATC